TACGTTCAGGCCTGCTTTAAAATCTGGCTTCGGAAAATTTATTTTTCATTGCTATCAGGTTCGGCCTCATTTTCTCTGTGCTGCGCTGATGAGTCCACACAGGGCGAAACAGTTCTGTCCGCAGCTTGAGTAAGCTGGGTAGATCCGAGTATCAGTTGTCTGATGATTGCCTAGCGGCATGAAATCCAGAGTTACAACCAACCTGAACATCCTCCGCTGAGTCTGCTATGTACTAAGCGCTGTCTCCGACATTGAGCACTCTCTGCAGCTCGGGGATCAGCGGATTTGGGTTTTTTTAACACAAAGTACATAAGATAAGACTTTACTCAATCTGCGGACAGCATGCTGTTTCGTTCTTTGTGAACTCCTCAGCGCAGCACAGAGGAAATGAGGCCGAACCTGATAGCAATGAAAATAAAATTTCCAAAGCCAGATTTAAACCAGGCCCGAACGTACCTTGCCAGAGTGCTCAAACTGACAAGTCAGTGAGCTCTGCGTAATGCAAACAGCAAAGGCACTCCCCCACATGAGAGTGCTCAACTACTACAATAGCAGGAGCGAATATAAGACTTTATAAGTACAGTCCCGCTCAATGAAATCCAGTCCTGTCACTCAAGTTTGCGCCTTGCACCATTTCGCAGCCCAGTGTTCGCAGGCGTAGGGCTGCGCAACACCCGGCCGGCGCATACTTGAGAGCCACGCCACTGAATTTCACTGCAGCAGCACAACGTAGTACATACCGAGAAGATCGCCACGGACCAGCGCTGTCAAGTCTTCGGCCGGCGAGACCTTGCACACGGCTCCCACGCATGACGAGGCACCAGCACGGATCTCATCCTAACCAGGCACACACACAACACATACAGTCAACTTATTGCGTATAACGATACCCGGCGGGGCATCAGAAAAGTGTCCTTATTCGTGAAGTGTCGTTATCTCCGAAGTCTCATTATATGTATTACAGTTAGATGGGACTTGGCTCTGGGCATGGAAATTCTGTCGTTATTCGCGAATTGTCGTTATATCCGCAGTCGTTATTAGCAAAGTTGACTGTAAACATCTAGAAGAGGCCTTACTTCTCCGCAGGGAGTTGTAGCATGTTTCGAAGGTAGACAGCACAGGGCCGGATCCAGAGATCTCTACAGGGGGGAGGGGGGGGGGTCCAGTTTAGCCAACACTGAATAGCTGATACATGTATACGTGCATGCATAATGGTTTGCAGTACTGTAAGACCAGTAATGTAAATGAACATTTAATTCTAACGATTTAACGAATTTGAACAATTCGTTAACATTTGAAGTTGTAATGTACAAAACGATACATACCGTATTATCTCTAATATAAGCACAGTCTCCAATAATAGCACGTCTCCAATAATAGAACACCTTGGGGCGGCATTCAAAAAATAAAGTGCTCAGTCTCCATTATAAGCACACTGTGTAAATTCATTATCTGTACCGGCGAAAAACCCCAGAAATGTGTGTGTCTGACATGAATTTGGCATGGCAACATGCCTATGAAATGACGTTGAAATAATAATGGAACAGTCTCCAATAAAGGAACGTCTCCATTAATAGCACGGGGCGGAGGTACATTGAAAAAATAAAAGACCGTGCTTATATTAGAGATAATACGGTACATGTACAGACAGTCATTTGCCAGTTTTGAGACAGAATTCGTTCGAATTTCACCTCGCTAACCCACAAAAATCAGGAGACCGTTAACTTTAATTGACGTTAAAATATCTGGTCTTCTAGTACGTCACTGCAGGGAGTTGTAGCATGTTTCGAAGGTAGACAGCACAGGGCCGGATCCAGAGATCTCTACAGGGGGGGGTCCAGTTTAGCCAACACTGAATAGCTGATACACGTATACGTGCATGCATAAGGGGTTCGCAGTAGTATTTTTGCCACGGAACCCCGGACACACCCCTGGCTCCACCCCTGCATAGTACACGAAACCATGTGCATTTCCTACCCGGGTTTGGAAGTTCTACAGGGAAATAATAATGATGGCCTACGAGTAAAAAAATAAATGAATAAAAAAGTCAAGTCAACTGCTGCTGGTTGTGATACTGGGAGGGGGAGGGTTTTTTCTTTTTTTTCCACAAAGAACACAAACCCGGCTCAAGACAAAAATAAGAACAAGCAAGATAACAAAGTTGCATGCAGGGTTTGCTGGGGTTAGTAACGACATTGCGTAAACACCGTGCACCAGGATGTGCACATCAATTGTCACGTTGCCTACGCGATTCGGACCATACCTCGGGAGAAGACAGCATTTCGACGAGCGTAGCTGTCAGGGATTTCCGGAGAGCCTCACTCATCTTATGGCCGGCATTGAGCAGTACACCACGCAGTGCAACTAGGATAGTCTCACTGTACACAGTAGCAGAGCAGAGATGAGCAGTAGCAACAGCAGCAACAACAATAGCAGCAGCAGTAGCAGTAACAACAACAATAGCAGCAGCAGCAGCAGAAGCAGCAGCAGCAGCAGAAAC